AGAAAAAAAAATTACCAGTTTTCAATTTTCCTCTGGAAAAATAAAGATAATTTCTAACTTAAATTGATGGGAGGTTTAAAGTGTTTGCTCATTTTCAGACACAGCATGAAAAGAGGAGGGATATTTATAGATGAATCCCTGCCTATCTCTCCTACAAGGTGTCTTGCAGTCAGAGGATAAACCAGCTGGCCAAAAGGAGCAGATTAAACCCACTTTTGTCTAAGAATTACAAATGAAAGAAAGAAAGATTTTCTTAATACAGATATACCCTGATGAGGATTGGCTCCATAGATAAGCTTACTGGATCTTAAACAGAGATATAAGAAGTGAAAAGGTGAGGTAAGCACTTGTAAATCAGCATAAATAAATATTCAAATGATATAGACAGAATAGCAGTAAAGTGAAAAGCTAAATAGAGTCTGGCGTCTATAAGAGATGTTAAAAATAAGAAGAGCATGAAGAATAGCCAAGAAGCTGTAACCCCACTGTATGAAGATGGAGTCATGTTCATGGTGACACTGTCTTTGGCCCATAAGACAAATAATGTCTGACCCTGCCAAAAATAGAAAGGACAATGAAGAGAAAGAACTGCACCTCAAATAAAGAGGAAGTTCAAGGGCAGGAAACACTTGGAATGAATTAAAATATTAAAGCTCTGATGAATGGCATCTTCATATACAAAATAAATTTGCAGATATAATTGAAGTGCTTTTGTTTATATATTCCTGGAGAGCATGTTCAATTATATGAATGTGCATGAAATGCCATGTTTTTTAATTTTATACTCAGATTAATACTATTTTTTAAAAAGCTTAAAACATTTCATTGGTGGAACAAAATTTGAAACATTTAAAGAGTTCCAAGCCATAGGGAACTTGGGGAAGTCTGTTTGCTCCTTCGGTTTCCATCTGGGGTACAAAAGCAGGGAGAGTGGCATTGCTACTAGCAAGCCAACCTACAGAAAAATTGGTCAAAGGGATTAAAAATAATTAAAACAAAACTCCAAAATACATAATAGGAATATAGTTCTCCTCTCACTTGAGAAATCATTTAGTTTAGATCAGAATCTTTTATCAGAACTCCCTCACCTCAAGAGATTTGTTTTCAGTTCTTTGAAACAAATTACTAAACTGTTTAACATTTCTTTCAAGTAGCATTTCTCACATCTTATAGATAAGCCAAAAGATGGCAAGAATGACAGGCCATATGGAATGAAGCAAGGAGTCATTCTTGCCATCTTTTATCTTTTATTGGCTTTATTGTAATTTATTTTTATTGTAATTTCTTTATTTTGATTGTTGTGACCTGCCCATAGTTGCTGGAAGTCAGGCTGCATGCAAGTGTAATAAATTAGATGATGATGATGATGATGATGATGATGATGATGATGATGAACAACCACCTACTGGAAGCCACCCACAGTCACTATGTGAGATGGGCTGCTATATAAATTGAATAAATTAATAGTATTTCTTGGGGAATAAGAATCACTGTCTTTGCTGTTTTCCCATCCCACTGGTTTAGCAAGTGTAAGCACCAGATTGTGCACTTATACACACATTTGTATTACTTACACATACTGTAAGATAAAGCAGCTCAGTACATACACAAATCACCCATCCCATGCATGACTTCTAAGACTGTCCTAGCAAAGTTGTTTTTCAAAATGGCATCAACTTTCTAGGCAGACTGGCAGACGTACAGCTATGAGTAGAGTTATTCTGTCTGGTCATGTGCTTAACTGCTGCTTTCTTATCACTCCACTTCCACATTATCCCATCTAGTCTAAACCAAAGCAGCAGAGATATCACTGGTCCCTGATAATATACTGACAAAAGTTTGAAAGAGCACCAACTCCAAAACAAACCAAATAATGGCTGAACTGGAGTATGGAACTGCTAGAACACTCAAAGGGGCGTCCCTGGATGCAGCCCAGTGTTGCTCTCACATCAAAGCAAAATAGCATGTTTTGTTCAAACATTTTGTTTTGAGTGCTGAAGACTCAGAACAGCTGTTTCTGAGGTCAAAATATTTTGGATACCCCTATACATGACTAGATACAGGATACAAAATACTGTTTCCATCTTCAAGGAGGAAGAGGCTCTGGGAAAATGACTGGTCAACTTGGTTTCAGTACCTGACGAGGATGAAAAAGAGCAACTCCAGAGTTCTTTATATCCAAAAGTTCAAACAAGGTTCTGAAAAACTGGTCATGTCAGACTAACCTTACCCTTTAAAAAAACAAACAAAAAAAACCCCCTCTATATCATGGTGAACATGGCTGTAGTCACACATTATGCTAAGGTATAGTGTGCTTTTTTATTCATGTGTTTCAGCTGATCATGCTGCATAAACGAAATCATTGTAAATCATGATCTGTGGCTTATTTTTTTTTACAATGAAGTAGGTCCAGAAACTGACAAAATGCAGCAAGAGACAGGAAGAAAGATAATTTGGAAATACATCTAGCTATTTATTGTATAACTGTTTTAAACACAGCATTAAAATATTAATATAAACCATTATTAAAAAACATGCACATTTTATGCTTCACTGCTTTAACTGCTGTCAACACACATATACAACATACCAAAATATTTTTTAAAAAATCAAGATTATGGACAGAGTTAAGGATGGGGTTTTCCCTTACATATTACAGATGTGTCCTCCATAACACTCATTTTCCATTGCGTCATTAGTATTTCAGGAATCTATTTCAGCAATTTTTGTTTTAAAAAGGATGGACTGATTGATATTTATAAAAATCTCAATATTACAACAAAGTAAACACCTTTTATCCTCTACTATTCACTTTTTGTATCTCACAGACAGTTTTTCATGCTGAATCAAAACACTTTTTCAGATTGACTATGCACATGCTCTACAAGCTACATCTTCTGTATAGACATACTTTGTATCTGATGTATTGGTATGAATCTATTTCATCTGATGTATCCAGAATGATCTGTACCTATATTCAAGGGACTTAGTTGACAATTAACTCTGTACTTCAGTTAGGCTTTGATATGCTTAAGCTTACCTGATTAGTCCAGTGCAGTGTTGTCCGAACTTGGCCACTTTAAGATGAGTGGACTTCAACTCCCAGAATTCCCCA